ATAGATGGACGGGGGCCTAAAAGGATAATCCTTTGGGAAAATAAATTTCCCGTGATAATATCCGCCACTATAAACGCTGTCTGGGGGACCACTGACAACGTAATGCCATTCAAACATATTGGAATGAAGTGGGTGTGCAACTACGTATGGAACTGGGTCCCTGGTTAGCCTAAGATAATCCTGTTGCAGCCTTTGAATGGCAACTGACACCCCTCCGCTTTTGTGTGAAGGCATCACGGGAGGAATCAAAATAACTGCCAAAGAAAAGAAAAAACGACTTTAATCAGCCGCGCCGGAACTCTACACATTCATTGGCGCAAATTCAATTACGTGTGAATTAAAAGTATCAATTTAGTATATATTCTCTAAACATTCCTTGTGAGAGCTGGAGAGTCTCCTTCTATCTGCCTACATGCAAAACGAATCCCGAATACTTTGCTTAAGCTCAATCCATATTTTAAAGGCTGTTTACTAAGTGCAACATACTCGAGATTAATTAATTCTAACACTAACTTGCGACCTAACAGTCGGGCACATGTGAGCATACCATGCGGTCGGAACTCCGAATTCCTTACTACGGAGTAATAATTCAACGGCAGTGCGAGTTTGCCATGGGCTCGACACAGTGTTGGATTCGTTTTGAATTATAATTCTCCGCAGTTTGATGTACCTCTTCTTCCATTTCCGATCGCGAAGCTATACCTTCTCAAAAATTATTTGCCCTATATTATATTCGCACTTTAAATGCAAGGGCTTTTTTCCCCGCTGCATATAACGCCCCTTTTTATCTAAAACCCCTAGTTTATATTTGTTGAAATTAATATAATTGTATTTGTATTTATTACCAGTTTGCAGGCAAGGTCAAAAATATATATACAAGGGGTTGAGCTGACAGTGAAAAACTCCTCAACCTTCTTTTTAATGTTTGCCAGTAACTGGTATTTTTCAGGATAAAAAAATGCAGCTCTTTGAATTATATTAGTTCAGGACGGGGAATTGTTGGCTCAAGTACACGGCTATGTAACCGATGTTCTGTACCAGGTGGAAATTTTCTGTGTACGGCTGCTCTCTGACGGCTGAAGACAAGTCTCTGGTGCAAGCCAGAAACTTTTTAATACTTTTCAATCCCTTTTTATGATTAAATTGTACAATAAAATAATTAAAGTGAAAAATTAACCAATATTGTTGTGTGTTTCTGTTCACTGATAATTCCTCTGGGCGCATAATCCAGACACTGATATGTATGGCGGAATGCTCACCGAGCACATTACGCCAAGGGGCCCAGTGTGCAGCTCGTTGAGGCAGTTGCACAGCAACTAGTAAGACGCACTTTTGTAGGGACCTATTGTGGGGCCGCCTAGTGGAAATAAGCTTCCTTTATTAACCAATAGGCCGCTACTTTTGCCATATTATTCATTTATACAGCAGTTTCTCAGCAAGCGAGAATCAAGTTTGCAGTTAAATTTAACAACAGTTTTTGAAAGTACCAATTCGTCAGGGAGTCCGTTCCACGCTCCACCGCCCCTCTGCGAAAATGCGTTCCGTCGAGCGCCATATGGGTCAACTGCCTCTGCATTTTAAGAAGATCACAATACAGGTGGTCCGTCCCAGCTAATTCGAAGGTGTAAGCAAATTTTAGGCTGCACCGGCAGCCT